GAGTGTCACAGGCCAGAGAATTGGCAGGACTTCCTTAGAGCTGGAAGGACAGCTAGATATTCAGATAAACAGGAACAGCCATTGAAGTTATTAGAAAGACCATGACGTTTGCCTAGGCATTCTATTTCTTTTAATCTTGCTCTAGTCATATTTTCTTAAAACTTATACAACACAGTAATTATTTAGTAAAGCCCCATCTTGTTTTTTATTTATCTTTATTGTTGAAAGTATTACAGATGTTCCCCATCCCCTCCACTCGGCTCCCTCCTCCTCCCTAAAGCTCCATCTTATTAAAAAAATGATCTCCATAGGTTGGACTGTGGGATTCATCTTTCACACCTGGTCCCTACACCTGGGCAGAGTCCACGTGTCTAGTGTTGGTCCTCAGACATGGACCACGAAATGGACTGCTACCTGAACTGCTGAAAGAAACAAGCAAGACTCTAGGGCAGCGATGGGAACCTTCTGAGCTCGGCGTGTCAAAATTTTGAAAAACCCTAACTTAACTCTGGTGCCGTGTCACATATAGAAATTTCATAATTTTTTTTTAAATATTTGCAACCAGCCGAACCGGTTTGGCTCAGTGGATAGAGCGTCGGCCTGTGGACTCAAGGGTCCCGGGTTCGATTCCGGTCAAGGGCATGTGCCTTGGTTGCATGCACGTCTCCACTGGGGGGCATGCAGGAGGCAGCTGATCGATCTCTCTCGTCGATGTTTCTGACTTTCTGTCCCTCTCCCTTCTTCTCTGTGAAAAATCAATAAAATATATTTAAAAAAAAATAAAATAAAATAAAAAATAAAAATAAATAAATATTTGCAACCATAGTAAAAAAAAGATTTATATTTTTGATATTTATTTTATATATTTAAATGCCATTTAACAAAGAAAAATCAACCAAAACATATGTATAAAGTGAACAAAAACAGAAAAACAATGTACACTTAGGAAAAAAAAATAATAAAAACAATGATAATCAAATGGTATGAAAACTAGAAATTAGTGACTTTTTTGTTGCTGAAGTTTTTCTGCTAATTCTTCGATTGCAGGTTCATACTTGGTGCACTTCAAGGCCAAGCAAGCGCCACTAACTTCATCTGTTAGCCGGTTTCTTTTGTTCGTTTTAATATTATTTAATGCTGAGAACAAAGTCTCACAAAAATATGTTGATGAAAAAATTGTTAGCAAAGCCATCGCTAGATTTTTTATGTCCCTAAAAGTGTCAGGCACTCTGTTCCAAGCACTCAAAATTTCTTGTTTGTAGTTGCACTCTTCTTCATTATTCAAACGATTTCGTTCCAGATTTTCAAGTTTCCACCTTAAGTCGACAAACACATGAGTCCAAATGCTACCTTGAAAATATGCAAGTTGTGCCCTGACCGGTTTGGCTCAGTGGATAGAGCGTTGGCCTGCTGAAGGGTCCCAGGTTCAATTCCGGTCAAGGGCATGTACCTTGGTTGCGGGCACATCCCCGGTAGGAGCTGTGCAGGAGGCAGCTGATCGATGTTTCTCTCTCATCGGTGTTTCTGGCTCTCTATCCCTCTCCCTTCACCTCTGGAAAAAAATCAATAAAATATGTTTAAGAAAAAAAAAGAAAATCTGCAAGTTGCATCTCTAAATCATCAATTTGCATCCATTGGAAATCCTTTAATTCCAAAGTACTGTAAACAATTACATCCGGATACTTAATTATTTTAACGGTCTGTTCTAGGCTTCTAAATTGGTCGAATCTTTCATTGAACTGTTCAAATAACGAGTTTACTATATTCTGGTACATAAGTATGGACTCCATTACACTCGTTGTAGTGGCCTTCTCGAAATACTTTTTTATCCGAGGAAAATACTTAGAAGTTTTAGTTTCAATGTCTCGCTTGAAAATTTTAAGTTTACTTTCAAAAGAGTTTATGTATCCAAACATAACGTCAATACTTTTGCCAAAACCTTGTAATTTTAAGTTCAGTTCATTCATATGAACAGAGAGATCTGTAAAACACATCAAATTGCTGACCCACTATGATCATTGATCTGAGGAACGTTTTCCAGGTCCTTCTTCTCAATAAATACCGTAATTTCTTCAAAGCACTCCACAAATCGCTCAAGTACTTTACCTCGACTCAGCCATCTCATGTTATTGAACATCAGCAGTCCACTGTAGGCTGAATCAACTTCCTGTAAAAGTGCAGAAAATTCTCGCTTGTGAAGGGGCTGAGAAGCTATAAAATTCACAAATTTTGTTACAACTGACATTAAATCATTCAATCCTGAGAATCCCGATTTGGCACACAACACCTCCTGATGGATAATGCAATGAAAAGGTACAAGGGGATGTCTAATAGCTTCCATAAACAATTTCAGGAATCCCACATTTTTCCCCACCATATTTGGTGCCCCATCTGTCGTGACTGACACAATTTTAGAGATATCAATGTTTGGTCACTGAATGTTTTTATAACAACCTTACATATTTCGTTTCCTGATGTACTTATTGGCACTGATTCTAACTTTATCAACTCTTCTCTCCTTGTGAGACCATCAGAATATCTAGCAATAATGGCCAACCGAGCATTTGATGTGACATCAGTAGTTTCATCAAGAGAAATCGAAAAATATTTACAGCTATTTAAGTCTTTTTTTAATTGATGTTGTACGTTTTTGTTAAGATCTGTTATTCTGTCTTTGATAGTATTTCTACTGAGTGGTAACTCAGAAATTCTTTTGATAATATCATCTTTATTTTTCATATTGTGAAATAGAGCTGGTGCACATCTTAGAAATGTTTCCTTAATAAATTCTCCGTCACTGAGGACTTTTCCATGCTGAGCTATGAAGTGAGCAATACAGTAACTTGCTGATGTTAAATTTGTAGAGCATCTTACAAATTTAATGATGGAATTTGATTGACTTCTATAGAGGTGTAGCTGCCTAGAAATGTATTCCTTCCTTTCATCGATACTTTTTTTCAAGAGCTGATAATGATTAGTTTCAAAATGTCTCTTTACATTTCATGTTCTGCTTACTACTGTTTCATTACACAGTATGCACAATGAATGATCTGTTGTTTCTGTCGACAATCCCATACATCTCGGTCCATATGCCTTGAAAGGGTCGGCTACTGCTACTTCCACTTCCTTTATCATTCAATCTTGCTTTTTAACTTTTTTGATTCTCCATCACAAGGCTGCAGAAATAAATAAATATAAATCACGGCGTTTTTTATAAAAGGTTGATAGGTTTCTTACCTATTAACTTTTGCAGTGTTGTTGCACTGACTCCTGGTGCAAAACAATTCAAAAATAGTATGTATAACCAACAAGTATATGGTGCTGTAATCAATTATCCCACACGCAGAATGTCTTGTCGAGCACTGTTGCACTGTATATCTTTTTTTTTTATGTATATCTTTTTTTTCCAGCCCTCCCACTCCTGTCTCCTAACGAACATGGCGATGAAGTGCGTCTGTTTGCCGAATGCACCTGAACGCACGGGAAGCTTACCCAGGCACATGTTGACAATAACGAGGCCGTTTCCAGAATTGGGCATTTTGTCACTCGAGTAAAAATAAAATGTCATGAGTAAAGAATAATCTCTTTATAGTGCAATTCTTAACCTTTTATATTAATGTCAATATTGGAACAATGTATCTTGGATGTTTTCACTATGTATCTTTGCTACGCAACACCGATGTACATGTTTACATCCTGTTTTAGAATTGCATTATTGATCTTAACGCGAGTAATAATATTACTCGAGTGATGCCCAACTCTGGCCGTTGCGAGAGAAAAATATTTGAATTATGCAATTTTTTGTCTCTGTCTTTGCGTGTCACCCAAAATGAGTTCGCGTGTCACCTCTGACACACGTGTCATAGGTTCGCCATCAATGCTCTAGGGCATGGAACTTGCATATTGAAAACTTAAAAAAAATTTTTTTTTTATTGATTTCAGAGAGGAAGGGAGAAACATCAATGATGAGAGAGAACCATTGCTTGGCTGCCTCCTGCACGCCCCCCACTGGCGATGGAGCCCGCAACCCAGGCACGTGCCCTGACCGGGAATCGAACCGTCCTTTATTGCTTCCCGCATCCCAAGCATCCTCTTGCTTTCTTTCCTGCGTTTCCTTCTGTGCTATCTCAAACCCAGGACCCTTCAGTCCGTAGGCTGAGGCTCTATTCACTGAGCCAAAGCGGCCAGGGCTTGAAAGCTATTTTAATGGCAACAATAGGTGCAAGGCCATAGACTCACTCTCTCTCTCTCTCTCTCTCTCTCTCTCTCTCTCTCTCTCTCTCTAGCTTCACCAACATGCCTGGCACAATGGAGGGCACATTGTCATGTTGGAATCGAACGAATAAGCTTTTGGGAGGAGCTCATTAACCTTGTTGGAGAGGTTTGTCTGTTTTTCATTGTGTGGGATGTAGCATTGATGAGCCCTAAATGTCTTTCAACTCCCAGGATCTACGATCTTCCAACTCAAACAGGCACTTGGCCATTGCCCTGTTCCTTGCCAGAGTACTGTCCACTTGCCCGCCTCCCTCCGCCTCTCGGTTGGTCCGTCCCTTTCCTTCCCGGCCCCCCGGGCGCCCTTCTCTCATGCAGATTGCTATCCTATCCCTCAATCGGAATCTGCAGTGCCTCTTGCCTTCACCCGCGGCCTTTGTCGTTTCCCGCCATCCTCTTGCTTTCCTCCCAGCGTTTCCTGCTGTGCTTCCTCAGACCCACACGCGGCTGCTCGCGCCGCCGCCCGGTCTGTCCCCCCCGCCGTCCGGTCTGTGTCTCCCCCCCCGACCCCCCCCCCCCCCGCTCCCTCCTCCTCGGCTCGGCCGCACCTTCCCGGCTCTGCCGCGGCGGTGCCCCTCCTTCCCGCGCTCCGACTGCCGGCCCGAGTCGGGGCTCGGAGACCTCTGAGCCTGCCTCCATTGGCTGCAAGGGGCTGTCACTCTGCAGCAGGGGCGCATCTATTGGTCGGGATGGAGGCGGGGCCGGAGCTGACTATAAAAGGCGGGGCCGAGCGGCGCGAAGCGGGAGGGTATAGACGGGCTGCGACCTGGCCGCTGACCCAGGCGGCGGGTCCGGCGGGAGCGGGCGGGAGCGGGCGGGCGCGGGCGAGGAGCGGAGGCCCCGCACTGACGCTCCTCGCCTCCCGGGCAGCCGTGCCCAGCCCGCAGCCCCCGCCGTCGCCCCAGGCCCACGCCGCGCTGCACGTGCCGCCCGCTCCGTCCGTCCGCCCGTTTGTCCATCCGCCGAGATGAGCGAGGTGAGCGGCCCAGCGCCGGGGGCTCCCGGGGGGGAGACGGGAGGTGCTCCGGTCTGGGGGGTGGGGAAGGGCACGCCGCCCGGGCTGCGGAGACCCTCCCCCTCCCGGCTCTGCGAAGGGACTGGAGGGGAGGGAGGCTCTGAGTCCCCGCGCGGGGCCGCCCCCGCACCTGCCCCGACGCTGCCGGGCGCCCCGTCACGGCCCTGACTCCCGCCTCGGCCCGGCTCAGCCCCGAGACCGCTGGCGTCCGCAGCCCCTGGGGCCTGGCCGGCTGCGGGAGAGGCCCCTCCGCAGAGCTGCCTGCAGCGCTGCTGACATCTTGGGTCCTTTGTGAGGCTCCTCGGCGCCCATCCAGCCAGACCAGCCCCCAGCAGGTGTCCTCTCCCACGGAGCACTGCTCGTCGGTGGGGCCATGCGGCCGCGGGAACCTCTCCGTCCCGAGTCCAGGGCCTCCCTTCCCGGATCTGGTCTGGCGGGAGCACCCAGCTGGGGTCTGCAGCCCTTCCCAGCACGGGGTCTCCTCCAGCCCGCTCTGAGCCCGCACACTTCCCAGCTGTGGCCGTAGGCAGGTCACGCACCTTTCTGCGCTTCCTGCCTTTAATCTGTCAAATGAGGACAGTGCTGGCTGTTCTGATGATTAACTGAGCTCATACTACAAAGTACTAGACAGCACCTGGCACAGAGCAGGCACTCAGGCTAGCTAGCTATTGTCATTTTCTCCATTAAAAACAATATTTTAGAGTGTGACAGGAAACTAGCACAAGGATTCTCCAGGATGCGGTTCGTGAAGGGCCAGCCGCCTGGAGCCTGGGCTCAGTGCAGACCCACCTGCAGGGGGAGCTCTGCTGTCTCCTGCGAAAGCCGGTGTCCAGGGAGCCAATTAGTGCCAACTGCTCTGTTGTCCTGGTTGCCATGTCCACTAAGCTTCTCCTGGAAAATGCAGCTACTCTGGGGGCTGTAGATGGACTAAGGAAGGCTCCAGTCCTTCAGCTGGTTGTGGCTGTGCGTGTGTGTGTGTGCGTGTGTGTGTGTGTGTGTGTGTATGTGTGTGTGAGCGCGCGCGCTCATGCACCTTTAAAAAGAAAAGAGCCCTGGCCGGTTTGGCTCAGTGGATAGAGCATCGGCCTGCGGACTGAAAGATCCCGGGTTCAATTCTGCTCAAGGGCACGTGCCCGGGTTGGGTTGCAGGCTTGATGCCCAGTAAGTGGGGGGTGCAGGAGGCAGCCGATCAATGATGTTCTCCCATCACGGATGTTTCTATCTCTCTCTCTCCGTCTCCCTCTCTGAAATCAATAAAAAATTAAAAATCAATCAATCAATCAATAAAAAGAAAAGGAAAACAATGGTTCAAATTTTCTTTTCTCTTGATTCTTTCAGCCCTAATATGAGAAGAGGTTTTCTTTGTCCTCTTTTCACTGAGGTCTGGAGCTCAACGCCCCTTCTAGTGTTTCTAAATCTGTGGGTTGCAATTTAAGCCATCCCCTGGGAGTCTGTGATCTGAAGGCCATGTCACCGGAGCTGGTGGTTAGCCTGTGCTTTTTTGGGGACGCGCACAGCCTCCCTGTAGGACGCACTGCAGAGGCTGACATTAGGGTGGTGTTTGGCAGCGTGACAGAGCTGCCACGTGGCGAGGAAAACAGCGTGGCGGTGTTGACGGGAGAGTGGTCTCGCTCAGCAGCCACACTCAGTAGCCCGGTCAGGAGCTCAGTCAAATGATGAGAGTGGAAGCCTCGGATGGGGACTAGCTGGCAGTGTGTGCAGGGCTGCCCAGCCTCCCAGGCTGTCAGAGTAACTGGCTCTAACTAGCAGTTTACCATAAAGCTGCCTCCTACTCCAGAGCTGAGCCTGGCTTCAGGGATGAGTATTTATAAAATCCAGAAGCAGCCACCTGGGTGCACACAGAGCCCAGCTGTCACTGACCCAGATCCCCAAAGGGCCCTGCTTCCTTAGGGGCCAGAACCCAGCCTGCCTTCCTCCTCTTGTGAAGTGTGATGAACAGCGGAAGTGCTATCCAGAGCCCTGGCCTCCAGGGAGACTCCAAACCGCCTCATCCCCCTCCGCCCAGCTGCAGGGCTCTCCTCTCACAGGCTGGAGCAGCCGTGGGCAAACTACGGCCCGCAGGCCGGATCCGGCCCGTTTGAAATGAATAAAACTATTGAAATAAAAGACCGTACCCTTTTATGTAATGATGTTTACTTTGAATTTATACTAGTTCACACAAACACTCCATCCATGCTTTTGTTCCGGCCTCCGGTCCAGTTTAAGAACCCATTGTGGCCCTCGAGTCAAAAAGTTTGCCCACCCCTGGGTTGGAGTGTGCAGCCCAGGAAGGCCCAGTGCACTCGGACTCTGGTATAAGCTTCACCTCCCCACCTTCTTCTTGCTTCAGAGAAACTGCATGAAACGAGAGGTCTTAGGTTCTCTAAAGATTCCCATTTCAACTGAAGAAGTGGTCTCCAGACTCAAAACAACTAAGAGTGTAGGGATTCTGTTGGGGCTGCTGGGGAGGGTCTCAGCTCTACTTTGCCTTGGTGGCTCTTTGCTGTCCCTCAGCACTGCAGTAGAGCCACCCCCTCCCCTCCGTGCGTGTGTGTGCATTCACGTGCTTGTGTGTGCGTGCGTGCACGCGCGTGTGTGTGCGTGTGTGCCTGTGCGTGTGCATGTGCGTGCGTGTGTGTGTGTGTGTGTGTGTGTGTGTGTGTGTGCCGCGCTCATGCGCAGAAGGGCTGCGGGGACTCCTCCAGCTTGTCTGCATTCACAGTTGCCGGCAGGACTTGATTGCTGTGAATCGCAATCTGCTTTTACAGTTGAATAACTTTTCTCTGGTTTCAGCGAAGGATGAGAAGGGGAGATGCATTCAGTCCCTGGGGGCTCTTCCCTGTTCCCTTGTCGTGTGATGTAGCTCAGCTGCTTAAGGCACAATGGCAAGTCCTGTGATCCTGTTGGTTCCTCAGCTGTGAGGAGCTCAGCTGGAGGAATCTGTTGGTCCCGCCTGTTTTGACAGCCAGGGGCTGCAGAAAGGGGAGAGCTTAGAACTGGTATCCCCTCCTTTATTGTTCTGCTGATGTCCGTTTAAATAATCAGAATGGGATCTCACACTTAGGGGATCACACTCTCTTTCCTGTGCTTCTCTGTCTGAGGCTGCATGATGGGAGTTTGCTAAGGGTGACATCACCGTGTTCTGCCTTCTGTGAGCCAGTTGTTAGAACCCTGGTAGGGGCGTGGAGGAAATCCAGGTTTCTCTCTCATTGGTAGTTGTTATTATCATGGCTGTATTGGCCACCTACTATTGGGATGCCTTTCACTGCTGGAAACATCTGTCTTCTGAAGTAAGAGAAACCAGAACTCAGTCCCCATCCTGGTGTCGGCTTTAGCTGCCTGAGCAGGAGCCTCTGGCTAGTACAAGTGGGTGACTTTGCCACCCTGTGACCTGGGAATACGGACAACTCTTTCCCAGCCGCAGCTGTGATCAGTTCTCTACAGGGCAGGGCCCTGAGGAACATGGCTGGGGTCCAAATGCACAAACCTGTTGCAACTCCATGTCTGTCTGTGGAGGGTCCTAGCTGATGGGGGGAGGGTGCAGGGGGAGAGGAGGGAGGAGGGTCAGGGCAGTCATCTTCTCTAGGGAGTTATTCTATGAAAGTCTCCCCGTTTTCTTTCTATTTATCTGTAGTTTCAATTTGTCTTTCATTAGTCTATTTTATCTTTGACAAAAATAAATTTAACTTTGCAATCATTCTTCAGGGTAGAAATACAGGTATATCTTTTACCAAGAAAATCTCAAATAATATATCAAAACACTTTAGTGATATTTTAGATTTGTTAAGGAGCCCTGAAATCATCTGGTCCAAACTTCTCATTTTACATATAAGGAAACCAACCCAAACATTATCTAAATTTACACAGTACCTGAACCAAGACTAGGGCAGACTGCTGACCTCCCATCCCAAAAGAATTTTCCATAGATTTCTTTATCTCCAGTGAATATAGAATAACTTCATTAACATGCAACTTTTAAGGAATATATTATAAATACTTTCTATAGGAAACCTAAGCAGCGTGATTTAATAAATGCTGAGCAAGAGGATAGAGAAGGAGAGCAAGCCACACAGAATGGTGTCCATCGGTGGGCACATTGGTAGGATGCGAGGCAGGGCACCTGCTATCCTTCCTCACTGGGTGCCTGGCTCCTCTGAAACGGTGTGGTGAGCGTGCCAATGTGGAATAAGCGATAGGGGTGAGCGAAAGGGGCCGGCGGGGCCCTCCTTCCCTGGTGCTTCATTTCTGTCCATCATTGTTCCCAGAGGAGCAGAGCAGCAGGGACCAGAAGACAGGCTTTTTCTGAACAGCAGGAAGCATTTGACCTGCAGGTGTGTGCGTAAAGCTAGTGTACCCGGTGACCAAAGGCTGGGCGTGGGTCCTCCGGCATTTGGCCACTTGACTTCCAGGGAGACCACAGGCTTTGGGGAGAGAAGCCTGGGGGGGAAGAAAAATGCCCTAGGCTGGCCGAGCAGCAGCAGAAGCCTGCGGGGGTTCCCTAAGCGCATGATCTACATCCCCCTCCAGAGGCGCGCAAGCGGCTCCCTCTCCCCGGAATGACTGAGCCAAGTCAGGCGGATCCAAACCACTTCTTCAGAGACCTGGATCGCTGCAGGCGCTAGACAAGGCCCCAAGCCTCACCCTTCTCATCTCTCCCTGAAGCCTGACTGTTGCTTCAGTGGGGCTGGGGGGGACGGGGGGGGCTGGCCCCCGAGGTTCCCCACCCCCACCGCTGGCTGTGGTCCTTGGTGCTGCCTCCCTCCCGCGCCAAGCCCTCCAGCTGAGTGCTTTCAGGGGGCGGGGGATCCGTGCGTCTGTGTGGGACGTCAGGGCGGGTGGGATGCGCCTGAAGATTACAGCCGGGGAGAGGCTTTGGCACCCCTCCCCCCCCACCCCCCCACGCTGTGCGCAGAGCACCGCAAATAACCGCTCATTACCCTGCCGCAGGCCCTGCTGGGGACGGAAGGGCTATTGACTCACTGCCTCCCTGAGCCAGCAAGGCTGAGGGACCTGCCTCTGACGCCAGGGCACAGGGTGCGGTGGCTGAGGGCAGAGGGACAGAGGGACAGACCGGGGGCTGGGTCTGCAGTCCTCATAGGAGGCATCTGAGACAGAGGTATTTGGGTTTTATTCCATGTATTGGGAGAAGAATGTGACCTCATTCTGTTTCTGTTCTGACCTGAGGGTGACCTTGAGCGAGCCTCTGGAGGTGGCAGACGCAGGCTGTGCAGGCGGAGGCGGGCCTGGCCCCAGCAGTGCTCCGGAACCAGCAGCAGGGCTCCCGGCGCCAGCGCCCAGGCCTCTCTGGGTCCTCTGGCTGTGACCTTCACTTAACATGGGGGAGAATATGTCAGCAGGACAGAGGGCCCCTGCTGGGGGCAGGGAGGCAAAGTCTCCTTGTCTCCACTTGGAAGCAATAACTTCTGTCTCCCTTCACCTTCTGCCTCTAAGCAAGCAGGGAGCTTACAAAGGCAAAAAGGGGTCTGTGGGCTCGTGTTTAGGATTTTTAGAATTCAGGCTCTTTTTACGTTGCCCTGCCCTGGGCTGTGGGACGGGATTCTGAGCGCCTGTTCATCTGGACAGAGCGATTCTGGCAGCGCTGCTGGACTGTGTGTGTGGCGCGTTTTCATCGCACGGCCATCGAGCTGTTCGTGCAGAGCAGGGCCCTGCTGTACGGTGGGTCGACGTGCTGCCTCGTCCTGTCTGCTGCTGCTGCCAATGCCCGCTGACCCCCCTTAAAGAGTACCACGGGCTCAGGAGGGGGAAAGCTGGGTGAGTCACCTTCCCCAGGTTAGTTCTGACTTGCTGCTTGGAGCAGAGCGGGTGACACTATCTTGCCTCTCCTGGCGACAGTGGTTGCTGAGGCAACACCATTAAAAATATCGGAGCCAGCCCCTAACCGGTTTGGGTCAGTGGATAGAGCCTCGGCCTGCGGACTCAAGGGTCCCAGGTTCGATTCTGGTCAAGGGCATGTACCTTGGTTGCAGGCACATCCCCAGTGGAGAGTGTGCAGGAGGCAGCTGATCGATGTTTCTCTCTCATCGATGTTTCTAATTCTCTATCCCTCTCCCTTCCTTTCTGTAAAAAATCAATAAAATATATATACATATATTTTAAAAATAACAGAGACAAAGAGAGCCGGAGGCACAGCTGGAGGAGCAGCAGGACCAGTGGGCTAGAGTGACGGGTGCCTGTTCACCAGCAGTGGCAACAGGGAAACAACACCTAAGCCAGCCGTGGGCAAACTACGTTTGAAATGAATAAAACTAAAAAAAAAAAAAAAAAAGACCGTACCCTTTTATGTAATGATGTTTACTTTGAATTTATATTAGTTCACACAAACACTCCATCCATGCTTTTGTTCCGGCCTCCGGTCCAGTTTAAGAACCCATTGTGGCCCTCGAGTCAAAAAGTTTGCCCACCCCTGACCTAAATCCTCTGCTCTGACTGTGCAGGTGCTTTGCCAAGACAATACTGACAAACTATCCTGAGGCAGGGGTGGACAGACCATCTTTATCATACAAAGGTGAATGGCACAACTTGGCCAGGGGAGATGGTTTAAGTGCTCCGGAGGGCATTGTGGGTAACTGGGGTTTCTTCTCTTTAAAGCACTCTTTTCTGACCTCCCGGTGACCTCTAACATGTAAGCCTGATGGAGCTGTGAACCCTTGGGGGCCAGAGAGTAGCTGTGTCGTGGCTCCATGCCGGGTCAGTGATCTCAGGAGAGACTCAGGAAGGGGCCTGGCCGGGTGGGCAGAGGAAGAAGGCTGGCCTGTGGGGTTCAGTCGGACACACTTTCCTGCTTAGCGGGGTCTCACAGTTAGCTGACGTGGGAAGGGAAGTAGAGCTGAAGAGAGGGGAGGTGTCTAGAGGGGCTGTGGTGAGAGAAAAGAACGGATGGATTAAGGGAACAGGCTCAGAGTCCAACAGAAGGAAACGGTTAAAGCAAGGACTAGAGTCAGGGATGTGCTGGCAATAGAGTGTTGGATTGAAGTCAGAGATCATGGGACTATGGAATGTGCCTCTCTGTCCCCCATGAACCCACCACACCCAGGGTTTGCTCCCACCTCCCCTGCACCTTCTCTTGTCAGTGTCCCATGATCTCCGCAGCAAGCCCAGTGGTCAGTGCTCAGCACTCCTTGCAGCACAGGCCTGCAGGTGGGGCAGCCCTCCTTCTCCTGAACGTGTCTGCTTCTCGTGGTTTCTGAGTTCCTGCAGTCTCCTGGCTTTCCTCCCACCTGACGTCTTTTCCATTTTCTTTATTGATTTTTCCTCATTTCTGTAACCCAGGGGTCCTCAAACTACGGCCCGTGGGCCACATGCAAATACAAATATTGTATTTGTTCCCGTTTTGTTTTTTTACTTCAAAATAAGATCTGTGCAGTGTGCATAGGAATTTGTTCATAGTTTTTTTTTAAACTATAGTCCGGCCCTCCAACGGTCTGAGGGACAGTGAACTGGCCCCCTGTTTAAAAAGTTTGAGGACCCCTGGTGTAACCTCTAATCACTAAATACTCCAGGACTTGACCCTTTTCTCTTCTCTATCTGCTCTATTTGAACTCACCCCGGGTGGTTCATCCAACCTCCTGGCTTTAAAGGCCATCCACGTGTGAATTGCTGCTCAGTTCTCTCTGCAGGGCAGACGCTTCTCCCTACCTCGTCTCCAACACCAGCTGCTTATAACAGCCTCTCCTCTTGGAGAGTTAGTGGGCATCTCAGATTGTCCAAGAGAAGCTCCTGACCCTCTCAGTCTCCTCCTGGGGCTCCTCCATCTTGGGAAATGGCAACTCCATTTTTTAAAGTTCCTCAGGCCAAATGACATTCTTTGGATGTCATCCTTGACTCCTCTCTCGCAGTGTCTCTTATCCAATCAATTAATCAACCAATTACATTACTCATAGCTTGAAAATATACCCAGAATCAAACACTGCTCATCTCCAGTGCCACCGCGCTGACCCAGGCTGATCACCCTGCCTAGTGTTCTGCTTCCTCTCCTGGGCCCCTTTTATGCCAACTGCACGTCATCCCCTCTCACTTGTAGTGAAAGTAAACTCCTTAGAAAGACTCGTAATGTCCCCTCACACAGGCTAGTCACCCCCCTCCCCCACCCCGACCCCCAGGCCCCTGAGAGCTCTTGCCTGGACACCACACCCTGACCCTTCTCTCCTTCAGCCCTTGCTGGCCGCTGGCTCTCAGGCGCTGCCTGAGCACTTGGTGTGGAGCCGTAGTTCCCCACGTCTGCCCGCATCCCTACCTCCCTTCCTTGCCTTTCTCTGTAGCACTTAGCACCACTGACATAATACCCGTGTTGTTTGTTTTTATTAATTTTAGGGAGAGAGAAACATTGATGTGAGAAACATCCCATCAATCAGTGCCTCCCAATTGCACCCCAACTGGGGATCACCGTAACCTGGGCATGAGCTCTGACCAGGAATCAACCCTGTGACCTTTCGGTGCGCAGGGTGACCTCCAACCAGCCGAGCCGCCCGGCCAGGGGCTGTTTTATTTATTTATTTATTTATTTATTTATTTATTTATTTATTCATTCATTCACTTTTAAATCTATTTTATTGATTTTTTACAGAGAGGAAGGGAGAGGGATAGAGAGTTAGAAACATCAATGAGAGAGAAACATCGACCAGCTGCCTCCTGCACACCTCCTACTGGGGATGTTTCCGCAACCAAGGTGTATGCCCTTGACCGGAATCGAACCTGGGACCCTTCATTCCACAGGCCGACACTCTGTCCACCGAGCCAAACCAGTTTTGGCCCATTTTATTTATTAATCTTTACACTAGGACAGTGATGGCGACCTTTTGAGCTCGGCGTGTCAGCATTTTGAAAAACCCTAACTTAACTCTGGTGCTGTGTCACATATAGAAATTTTTTAATATTTGCAACCATAGTAAAACAAAGACTTATATTTTTGATATTTATTTTATGTATTTAAATGCCATTTAACAAAGAAAAATCAACCAAAAAAATGAGTTCGTGTGTCACCTCTCACACGCATGTCATAGGTTCGCCATCACTGCACTAGAATGTAAACTTCACAAGGGCGAGGTTTTTGCTTTGTCCTGTGCAATTTTCCTGACACCAATAAACACCTGTTGAATGGATTCTGATGACTTTCTACCTCTCTGATCTCAATACCCACTTTTTCAAAAGACTAGGGAATGCGCCTCGTAATAGGAGGGCTGGGACGTGATGAGGGTGAGTCTGAGGGGCTGGCACCATGACACTGCCATGAATGTCTAATATTCTGGTTTTTCTTTCTCAGCTTAACACCAAAACATCCCCAGCAGCCAACCAGGCACCTGGCCCAGAGGAAAAGGGTGAGTGGGCTTGGGCTGGGCAGGTCACAGAGCAGGTGAGTGACACCTGGACATGAAGACGGGCAGGGCTGTAAGTCTGGAGCCCTGAATGCGGATAAGGGAAGAGAGCACTGGGTTGGAGCTACTGTCTCTATAGGCTTCCTGCCACGTTTCCCCAGGAAGCACACCTCCCAATGTTTACTCTCTGGTTTTAGAAACTGGCTCTGGAGTGGTTGGAGACAGGCCCAAGACAGGAAGGAACTAATCAATAATCCAGCCACGGTCTTCATTGGAAGCTGAGAGACAGCTGGGGATCACGATGAGCTCTGGGGTTGGACTGTAGGTTCGGGAACAAGTGGTGAGAGGCACCTGTGGTCTTGGTGCAGGCGCAGTGGAGCTCCCCGGAGCCTGGGTCCCTGCCTCTGGCTCCAGGCGACACTGGGCTTTCTGAGGGCTCGCGGAGGCCACAGGGAGAGGGCTTGACCTCGGCATTTGGGGCCTGGAGGAGGGCTGGGCTGTGCAGGGTTACTCACGCGGGAATCTCACCACCTGCAGGGGAAGCTGGCAATGCCAAGAAGGCCGAGGGGGGGGAGGAGGAAGTGGACATCGACCTGACAGCGCCGGAGACAGAGAAGGCTGCCCTGGCCATTCAGGGCAAGTTCCGGCGATTCCAGAAGAGGAAAAAGGACCCCAGCTCCTGAGTGCCAGCCTCGCCCTCCCCACTCCACACTCCGCAGCTCTGGCTTCCATGCGCCTTGTCTCTGTCCGTCTATCCTGGGTGGGGACCGTCTGGCCCTCGGGCCGTACGAGGTCCACAAAATCATTTATTTGGTCTGGCCCTGCCAAGGCATCAGGGGTGAGTTAATTAAATGTTTGATCAAATATAGCAGGCTAATCTTTAAGTTGATAGTTTTGTGTGGCTTGTGAATGATGCTTTACTATCCAAATGGCCCACGGCAGAGAGAAGGCTCCTCACCCTGCCAGCTGCTCATTCAGGCCAGTCTGACCCTGACCTGCTATTTTCTGTGGCTCCTCAGGCATCAGAGCAGCAGAGCATGAGGAACAGAGGACGGGGGAGAACTCAGCCGGCAGCCACTTGCCTGAGGGTGGGCCGCTTCTCCTTGGGCTACGCCTCCTTAACCAGTTCCTCTGCCCTGAGGTTGAAGTAGAAGAGGCTTTGAGGCTGAGCCCCGCCCCCCCCTGTACAGTGTGGGGGGAGGGGAAATCTTCAGAGTCGGGTGCCTGGGGGGATACGCACTGTCTGCCTGTCCTTACAACAGTCCCACTTCAGGTAACATTGCCTCACACCCTCTGCGCTGCCACCTCCACTTCCTGCTGCCCAAGCACAGGATCCCCTGGAGACCCGGACAGCAGCTTTCACGTCAGTGCCTGCTGAGTAGATGAGTCCCAGGAATGCAGGGGGCTGGGGCGGGGCAGAGGCAGGGGTGTGGGAGCTGGGGGAGACTGGGGAGGAAGGACGGTGAGAGGGAGCTCTGAGGACACAGGCTGCGGCAGGGAGAGTGCCTGCCCCTGGACCCACGTCTAGCCTCCCCAGAGGCCACGCAGACCTGGTGACCCCTGGAGCGCCCGCCTGCCCGCCGTGGAGTCGGGACAGAAGGAAATAGCCACTCGGTGAGGTTTTAGCTGTTTCATAATTATAGAAAAAACAACCCTCCAGTGGAGTCATTTAACCTCTACTTCTGATTTTTCTTGGGAGGAGTGTGAATGCTGGCCCCAGGGAGGGCAGGTGCCTGAGCACTTTCTCACTGAAGCCCACCTCCCCGCCACCGACCTGCCCACCCCCTGCTTCACGCCCACACTGCTGCCTCCCACCCCCAGCCTGCTGCTCCCCTTCCCTTCCCCTCCAGCCGAGGGCACACCCGTCATCTTGCTCCCTGTCCCACGTGACCTGTCCTAGCTGTCCTTGCTGCTTTGGCCCCCCCCCCCCCAACTGTTAAGCAAATGCAGTGGAAGAAGATGACTGGGCCACACTGAAGACTTTAAACCATGAATTAAATAAAATGATGGCTTTCAAATGAGTTTACATTGTTGAGACTTGAGCTTCGTACCTGGAAACCAGAGCCACACGCAAGAAGTGAAACCACTTAACAGCTGTGAGCAGGGCCAGGCAGGCTGTGCCTCCGCCGGGCTGGGAGGATGGAGCTGGGCACAGGGAGCCCCTGTCACTGCGCCTGCTCCTGTCCCCTCGGTCCCTGGAGGGGCGGGGAGAGCAGGGCTCCTGCGGACGAGGCTCCGTGGGCTCGGGGCTGGGGAAGGCAGCGGGGGTCTGTCACCAGCCCCTCCGCAGGCTCCACTGCTCAGGGCCGTCTGGTGCGGAAATGTTTCCCTTTCGCGTTACACTTGCCCCCATGCGCGCTAGGGCCGGGGTGTGGCCGCAAACAGGCTCAGTGTGGGGAGAGCCTTCTGACCTGAGGGCTGGGCCTCCTTTGCAGAGCCCGCGGCCCGCTCAGCAGGTCCTGAAACCCGCCTCTCCGCCCGCTGCTCATTTCTGCCACCTCTGCGCCCGCAACTCCTCCTGGGCCCTGGAACCCCTTTTCTCTCCTGTCCCCCCAGTTCCTACCGCTGGAGACACGATCCTGAATACCAATCGCCAGGACTTGCTCGAGCGCCTTATTCTGTGAGTGTAACCTGCTACTACGGGTCAGCAGAAGAGGCGGTGCTGGAAAGCCCCGGCGAAAGCACGGGCGGTACCGCCCTGTCGCTCTGATCTCCTGCGGTTTTCCGCTGACGCGGTGGCGGAGCTGGGTGTGCAGCCCTGAGGAGCAGGGGTGCTGGGGTACGTTCTCAAGCCCAAACTGGGAGAGGATCTTGGCAGACAGTCAGGCCCCTGAAGGGACAAGGGTCCTGCTTCCCTGACAGCCTACTGCCAGGGCCTGGGGTCGTTGCCCTCTCCTCCATCGGCCCCAACACAGTCAGCTTTCCCACGGGCCTCTCCATCTCTCATTCCTGCCTTCAGTCCTTGCAGGGCGCTCCCTTCGGCGCCTCTGCCTCTATCTGGCCCTCTCCCCGGGCTGCGTTTCCACCATTTCCGGAGCTGTTTGCAGAGCGGTGGCCTCCGCAGCTCCGGGCTTCCCTGGGGTCACTCCAGTGAGCTGCTGCCGCCCTTGCCCACCTTCCCTCCAAGCGCCGGCTGGGTGTCGGTGAAGGCTGGCAGGCGCCTCTGAGCCACGTCAGACTGCCCTTCCCTGCGCTGTGAGCCGCCCCGCAACCAAGCTCTTCACGGAAACCAGCTTGGGGGGGGGGGGGGGCCTGGAGGGGCGGGGCTATGCCCAGAAGAAGCAACGGAGGTGGAGGCAGCAGCTTCTGGAAATGTCAGTGTTTATTAAACATATGAGGACATTCGGGGGTTGAGAGGAAATATACAGAATGTAGAAAAACTCTAAGAATCCCCCGTGGCTGGGAGTGTGGCCTCTCCCCTTTCACCCTAGTTCCCATTGGTTTTCCTCCTTTCCGTCTGGCTGTTTAAAAGCCATTTCTTAAGGCTCATCTGCCCCTCTCCTCAAGTCCTGACCTGAGGACCGTTGTCCCTCCTCCCCCAGGACCTCGAGCCCCAGGACAGTGCTCGGAGCGGCCGCCGAGGGCGGGCGTCGGGGGCCCTGCGCCCAGCGGACTCCCTGAAGGACGTAATGGGGGCGGGGAATCGAAACATCCACATGACGTCATTGGTACTCAGTCATGGGGGTCAGAGCAAGGGCACCGGCAAACCAACCAACAAGCTTGGATTAAAAAAATAAAAGAACCGGAATAAACCCTGCAGGGAGGCTGATCTGCATGACCCGGTGTTAGCTGAGAGCACACAGTAGGGCAGGGCCCCTGACGGAGGGGTGGGAGGGTCAGGGAGGGAAGAGGCAGCGGACAGGTTGGGTGCAGGGGCACGGGTGCAGGTGGCCTGGAGTCGAGGCGCGGGGTAGCAAGGTCCCTTTCTTCTCGGTGCCGGAGGGACAGGCACCAAACACACAGTCCTTGGGGCGGTGCAGGGTAGGATCAGGCCCTGGACTCCCAGAAAGCCAGGGGGTGGAGGTGGGGGAGAGTATGACGTGCCTGGGGAATGAATTTTGGAGTGAAACTTACATCTCAGAGGGAAGTGAGGGCAGGGCAGGGCACCTAGAGGGGCAAAGGGAGCCCGGGCCCCGGCTCTGGCAGGGCCTGGGCTGGTCACGGGTCCGAGTCCCGGCCCATCATGTTCTTGAGGGCGTTCTTGAGGCTGGTTCTGCTGGGGGACTTGACTGCGGGCCTGAGCTCCGAGCTCTGCTCGTCCTTGCGAAGCTCCATCTCGATGACCACCACCTGCGCGCCCTGGGGGGCCTCCGCCCCTGCGCCCCGAGCCCCCGCCCCGCCCGCTAACCGCTATTTCTTATCCTTGCGAGACTCCCCCAGCCCCTTGGACTTCTTCTCACTGGCCGCCTTGGTGCTCCTGCTGTGGTCCAGCATGGCGTACAGCACGGGCGTCTGGGGAGGGGCGCAGTCAGTCACCGGCCCGCCCCGCCCGCCCCCGGTCCCGGCCCCGAGCCCCGCTAACCTGCCGGCCGCGCTTGGAGTCCTTCCCAGACTTGTGCAGCTTCCCCTTCTCCATGGCGCTGCGGGGAGACGGGGTGTGGGCGGGGCGCCCCCTCCCCTGCCCCTCCCTCCCCTCCCTCTCCCTCTCCCCGGGCGCCCCTACCTGAGCCGCCGCCGCAGGGCCGCCTGCCTGCGCAGCCAGCAGTACCGCACCAGGTAGAAGAGCAGCAGCAGCAGCAGCACCGCGCCCAGCACGCCCCCGACGACCGCGCCCAGCACCACCCCGTAGCGCGTGGGCACTGGGAGGGAGGGACAGTGAGAGACCCGCCGGACCTGCCCCCTCCCCTGCGGGCGGGGTGACCCCAGCTGCCTCCGCCCGCCTCCCAGGGCCCCAGACCCGTCCTCCGTCTCCTCGCGCACCTTTTTCGAAGACGTAGAGCGTGACCTTCGAGGTCTTGCCCACGATGTCCGGGGGGTTCTTGACGTCACAGGTGAACGTGCCGTTGTCGCTGTAGTCCAGGTTGTGGATGACGATGGAGCCGTCCTTCCAGCGCGGGTCTCCTACCCACTGGATGCGCTCCTTGAAGGTGCCCACCTCGTCGATGTAGGGCTGCCCCTTGGCGAAGTGGAAGATCTGCGGAGCCAGGGCGGGGCGGTTCCAGCCACAGGCGCGGGGCCTGGGCTGGGGCGGGCCAAGGTGGGCCTGCCCCGGCCACGGGGGCTCGTGGCTCATAAAGGACCCCCCCCCCCGCCCGAGTTCTCCTGCCTGTGGCCTCGGAAGCGCCCTCTCCGGTGCAGCCCCAGGGCCCCCCAGGCACTCACTGAGATGGCATCGCGGCCCCCCTCGGGCTGGTAGCGCCAGGTGAAGGAGATGTCATCCGAGACCCACTCGCTGGACCAGAAGGAGCAGTGCAGGGTCACTCGGGAGCCGACAGCGCCATGGACCTCCCTGTCCGTGTACACGACAATGGCCTGGGCCAGGGATAGCACTGCAAACAGAGGGGAGCGGGTGCTGGGGGCCCCACACGGACACCGAGCAGGCGAGGGCAGGTCCTGCTCAGGCCAAGTGGGCGGAGAAGAGACTGGGGCAGAAATGATACATTCTGAGGCCCAAGTCTCCCGACTCACTGAATAGCAGATTGAAATGCTGTGTTGGTCCAAGCTTGTCAGCGGCCTGAGGGAGGAAATGGGCAGTGACTGTTCGCTGGGGGACAGCCAGGGGCTTGCCTTTGTCTGCAAGTCTCCCTTTCCCTTAGGCTCAGTTTCCCTAAGCCATCCCTATGATACGGGCTTTACAATTTTTTAAATTTATTACAAATTATACAGGTAACACATATTACATTCTTATTATAAACTATTCAAGCAATAGAGATAAAGCTAAAGTCTCTCTTGAGGCCCCCCTCAACCAATTCCTTCCCTGTCTGTTATCATTTTTTTAAAATATATTTTTATTGATTTCAGAGAGGAAGGGAGAAGGAGACAGAACTGTCGATGATGAGAGAGAATCATTGATTGGCTGCCTCCTGCACGCCTCCACTGGGGGGTAAGCCTGCACTCCAGGCTTGTGCCCTGCTGGGAATTGAACCAGGGACACTCAACCACTGAGCAACACCAGCCAGGCTGTTATCAGTTTAATGTGTAGCCTTTTTCTGTGAATCAAATTCAATATAAACTTAATACACTCAAGATATGCAGGTACTTATGCTTAAGAATATATGTATATAAAATAATATATGTAGGGGTTTCCATGTTGATTCATAGAGACAATCTTCTTTTTAAAAGCTGCACAGTATTTCTCAGTAGAGCAAAATCAAGTTTTTCTACAGGAAAAAAAAAAAAGAAGATAACTAGAAAGTGTTAAGTCTTCTTCCCTGGTCCAATTGTCCTCACTGCTGAATCTCTGGTTGCCATACTGCTGACCCTTGACTGGGAGATCAGGAAGGAAATACCCAGGGGAAGCTGGGTACAGCCCAAGACCCCAAGTCCAGAGCTCAGATGACTGCGTGTGAGCGCTCTGTGGTTCCACCTGCTCACCCTCCTCTTGGCCTTTCTGGGTCAGTGCCACGCCCAAGACCCGCCTACACAAGAAAGGCCATTCCAGGGAATTGCGTGCGTGGGCTGGCCGAGTGGGGGCAATTGTAGACTCTTTTGTTCTACGAGATGGGGAGCAAGCAGCCAAACAGAGATCCACTGTCTGAGCAATGCCGGGGGCTGATGCCGCCCCCCATGGTCCCGAATCTCCCACCTCAGCATGTAAGACACTGACCCGCCACCTAGGACCCCCGCCTGAGAGCCTTCTTGGGATTCCCAAGAGCAACAAGGAAAGTTATTCACTGGGTGCACCTCCTCTTCTTCCTGTTCTAATGTCCCCCACTGCCCTTCCGCTCTGCTCAGTGAGTGGGGCCGGTGCTGGGACAGAACACTCCCCCTCCCCACGCCTTTCCCCAGCATTTCCTCAGGGGCCCCAAATAGTCCAGTACAGTCCAGAAGAGTCTGGGTTTGGGTTGAGGACCAAGAAGTTGACAGCAGAGAACGCTGGCCATCCCGAGCAGCCCCACCCATTTGCCTGCTGCTCCAGAACAGTTCAGAGAAGAAGGACCCGTTCAATCACCCTGCTTTGACCTTCTCTTGCTCACCCAACATCTACCATGGGGCAAGGAAGGGGTCGATCAACTTATGAAGGAAGACAGCTTTCAATGAACAAAATCCTAGAATCTCATAAACCCTTCCTCCCACTCCTTTTGCCCACATAATAGACAATTGATCCACAGAGAGAAACTGAGGCACCCAGAGGCAAAGGACCCAAGGAGCTGGGACCACAAACCTGGGACCTTTCCTTAGATCACAACCCCTGGATTTTCCCTTCATGGAAACGAAGGGTTGGTACCTCTGTACTAGACCATGAGTAGGAACCAGACTCAGGTGTCTGACCCTGGTCCTAATCTTGCTCTAACATTGCTTCCCCCAGGCCCTCAGCATGGGCCATGTTACTAATTCCCAACCTGGGTCTAGTCTGGTCCACCTCAGGGAAGCTCTCTACATTCTCTTTTACCTTCTCCCTTCATAGAATACCTTTATGCCAGCCTCCAAACTATATATTTTTTCTCTGAATAGAATATCCCCTTCCTGATCCTTCTCACTCTTCCTTTAACTGGAGTGGGCAGTACAGGGAAGGCAGTGGGAAGTTTGCAGAAAGAACCTGAGTCCCAGGGCCCCAGGCTGGGGTGGGTCCACTTACCCAATGAGGAGAAGAGCAGTGCGGCCAGGATAGAACTGGGGCTGGACGAGGGAGCCCCAGGAGCCATAGCTGGGGCAGGGTCTGCAGGGTTAGGAGAGTGGGGGACCAGGAACTGAGCGGGGGGTTCCTGGAACCCGCTTAAAATCCCCCAGGGCGCCAGTATGAGGGGGCTGTCCTGAGCCAGTAACCAATTGCAGCCTGGCATGTGCAGTTGAGAGGTGGTGGTAGGGGGCTGACTGCAGGGAGCAGAAGGAGCATTGTGTCCTCTGGGTGGAGGGTGGGGTACACATACCACCCCATACACAGAGGGCTTTGTGTCTGCTGGCCTCCCCCTGCCCTAGGCTGGAATGTTGAGGGTGGTGGTGAGGGAGAGGGACAGAAAAAGGGACACAAACACACTTCTCTGAGGGATGGATGGGCAGGGGGACCTGAATCCTAAGGCCACGAGAAGGGGATTCCTCCCCAGATGCCTTGCCTGAGATGACCCCCTAGGGCCCTGGGAGCTACAGGCAGGTTTCCCAAGAGAACCTGGGAAGCAACGGTCACTGTCATCTCGACAGTCTTAGGTGGCAGGACAGGCTTCTTGAGATGACCAGGTCCTTTGGGAGCCTTATTTGACCCAACTCCCTTCGTTCTGGGTGATTCTTCCCAGATGGAAGCTGTTCTCCCTGGGAAATATCCAGGGAAGAATCTCCTAACTTCTCCATCTTTGTCGGGAAGTCCTTCAATGCCGTATGCTGCAGTCGTAGCCTATTTCAATTTAGAACAAGTCAGCAAAACCATACTGTGCTACCTAATGTGAAATGCGGGTGTGCAGGCAACAGAGAGAAGAATAAAACTGAAGTCCCCCTTCAAGGAGTTCAGGATCTAGTTCGGGAGGGCAGAGAGCGGAGGGTCAGAGGACAAGCCCATCAACAACTGACCATATGGACTGTGACACCTGCCACAGGAGAGTGCGGAGCCATGTGCTGGGCACCCAGGAGGCACGCTCAGCTGCACGGGCAGGAGACTGTTATGTGATGGAGATAAAAAAAAAAAAAGAAGGGTTACTTAACAAATGAAGTTCAGAGGAAGGGGGAGTCATGTCTGGGAGGCAATATTAGCTGTGGACCAACCATGAAGGATCCGTGCCATTTTGAAAAAGAGAAATGTACCCAGGTAGTGAGAGTATCTAGGCAGGTAGAACAGCGAAAGCAGAGACAAACGCAACATGCGTGTGTGCGTGAGTGTGTTGAGGTCTGTGAAGTATTGGGCATATTCAAGGCAGATCTGGGGCCATCCACTTTGACTTGGGGGAACCTGAAGAGGCATCACAGGAAATGAGTCTGTAGGAAAGTTGAAGGTGGTTTTGATGGGCCTTAACATACAGGCTAACGAGGGTGGATTTAATTTACATTCTAAGAATTTCCTGAAGAGTTGGGGTAGTGTTTAAAGTTAATAATGGGGGTGTCTATATGCTCAGAGCTGAGTTTTAAGACAAACCTGGCCAGGAAATTCATTCGGGTCAGAGCTCTCCTGATTGCTGCCTCCTCTCCTCCCCTCCTGGAACCCTCTGAAAGGATTTTGCTTTCCATGGAACCTCTCACGCGCCCATCGGAAATGTTTTCCCTTCTCTCTTCCTCTGCCTTTCTCGCACCCCAAGCCCTGGGTAGACTCTGCTTCTTCTCCTGCTTATTTTTCTTTAAATATATTCTATTGATTTTTAGAAAAAAAATTTTAATATATATTTTATTGATTTTTTTACAGAGAGGAAGGGAGAGGGATAGAGAATTAGAAACATAGATGAGAGAGAAACATCGATCAGCTGCCTCCTGCACATCTCCTACTGGGGATGTGCCCGCAACCAAGGTACATGCCCTTGACCAGAATCGAACCTGGGACCCTTGAGTCCACAGGCCGACGCTCTACCCACTGAGCCAAACCGGTTACAGCATCCTGCTTATTTTTAAGATGAGTCCTGGTGTTAAGAGGACTCACTGAATGTTTGGTTTGCATTTCAATGTGAATCATTTCCATCGATTCTGGGCTCTGGAGTTAGCTTGAGGGCAGAGGTCCCGCTGCTCCTGCTCTGGGACAGGCAGGCTCTCCTGTAAAGCCTCAGCGCGGCACCTCCCTCCTGGTAGTCCTGGTGGGTTCCATGATTAGTGTTAAATTTGCGTTATGGAAATGCAAAATAGCATTTTCATTTGATACAGAAATAACCGCATTTATGCTATTTAAATCCTGAAAGGAAGGGTGCAGCAGTGTTAGCTATGAGTCAGGTCTGAATATTAATGTAATAGTGTTTTATGGTGGAGTCTGGGCTCTTCCCTTCACCCCGCCCCCGCCCTCTGCCCGCAGAGACTCCAGAACTCGCCCCGCCGGGCCCTGCTCGCCCTCTCCCTGGGGCTCTAAGCGGCTCTGGAGGTGCCGGCGGGGCTGGGTCCTCGGAACTGCTCCTCCGCATCTGAGCAGAGCGAGTCCTCGCGCCCACCCAGGGCTTCTGGCTGAGGGCGTCAACCCAAACCCGAGCCCAGGGCAGGGCGCGCGGCCCGACGTCAGCGGGCGTCCAGCGGGGCGCGGAGACCCGCTGCTGCCGCTGGGCCTCCCGTGCGTCTCCGGGCGGGGAGGCTGCGCGCAGACCCGGAGGGGACCCCGGGCGTTTCTGCTCCGCGGGCCGGGGGCCCGCAGGTCCCGGAGGGCCTGGCCCGGCCTCGGGGCGGCTCCCGGCGGTGCTCGGAGGCCCGGGAGGCCCGGCAGGACTCCGCGGGGAGGCGCGCCCCCAGGCGGTCACGTGCCGGAGGCCCCGCCCCGCGCCCCGGCCGGGCCGCGCGTCACTTCCGCCCGGGCCGGAAACCAAGATGGCTGCGCTCCTGTGGAGGTGACTTTCGCGTGGGGCGGGATCGGTGCCGGCGTCCCGCGGAGACCCGTCAGGCCGCTGGCTTCGCGGTGACGGCCGTCCGCCCCGTGTCCGGGCGGCGGGAGCCCGTGGGGCGGCCCCGCCGGGACCCCAGCGGCCGCCGCTCCTGCCCTTCGCGGCTGGGGGTCATCGCCGCCGTCTCTCCCCGCCGGCGCTCCCCGCCCGATAGCGGGTCTCCCCGCCGCCGGGAGCCGCCCGAGGGCTGAAGCCGGCGGACCTCGGAGGCGCTGCGCGTTCGGTTCGGGCCACGCAGAGAAGCGGGTGGGGGCGCGGGAAGCCGCCGCTTTGGCTCGTGGGGCGGCCTTGCCTTAGAGAGAGAAGAGCGGCGCCGGGGAGCGACCTGCGGGGGCCCAGGTCCGCGCCCGGGGTTCTGCCCCGTCGCGGTCTCCCCTGGGACGGCCCGGCGGAGGTCGCGACGCGCTGTGGCTCCCGACGCCTCCTGTCGGCCGGGCGGGCAGCGTCGAGCTCCCCGGCTGCGCCGCCGAGAGCAGGAGGCCGGGCCCTCCGGCCGGTGAGGAACCGGAGCTCCGTTTCAGCTCCGCGTGGGGAGGAGCAGGTGCCCGCTCTTCTCCGTAATGCCCGTTCCTTCCGAAGACTCACCACAGGCTCCCCACCCCCTCCAGCTGGGCCTGACGGCCCCCCCCCCCACCAGCTGCCTGGACGGTGCCTCCCCACCCCCTCAGCTGCCTGGACGGTGCTCCCCACCACACCCACCAGCTGCCTGGACGAGTGAACCCTCCCCCTCCCCCCCCCAGCTGCCTGGAATGGTGTCTCCCCCCCCCCCCCCCCCTCCTGCACTGGACGTGCTCCCCGCACCACCACCTCAGCTGCCTGGACGGTGCCTCCCACCCAACCCCCACCACCACTGCCTGATCGGTGCTCCCCCCCTCCCCCCCCAGCTTCCTGACGGTGCTCCTCCCCCCACCCCCTCCCCCCCCCCAGCTGCCTGGACGGTGCTCCCCACCCCCTCAGCTGCCTGGACGGTGCTCCCCCCCCCCCCCACCAGCTGCCTGGACGGTGCTCCCCCTCCCCCTCCAGCTGCCTGGACGGTGCTCCCCCCCCACCAGCTGCCTGGACGGTGCTCCCCACCCCCTCAGCTGCCTGGACGGTGCTCCCCCCCACCCCCACCAGCTGCCTGGACGGTGCTCCCCCTCCCCCCCCAGCTGCCTGGACGGTGCTCCCCCCCCCCCCCCCAGCTGCCTGGACGGTGCTCCCGGCCACTGCACTCTCCTGGGTCCATCCCCAGTGGCTTTGTGCCAGCCCTATTGCTGGACACTATTTGTTACGGAAAGTTAGCTTTAATGCTGTTGAGATTTAATTCCCGATTTACCCAAATGTCTCGTCATTTCTCTTTCCACTTAAGTCACCCACTATAAAAATAGACTTTATTTAGTTTCTCTCTGTTGACAAAATGATTCCTTTTGGAGCTGAGATCAGGAATGAGTCACCTTAGTCCTTTATTTTCCTCCCTGCCTCTTATTTCCAAACGAGAGGCCTGGTGCACCAATTCGTGCAGGGGTGGGGTCCTGCCCATAGGGCAGTGTGTGTGTGTGTGTGTGGGGGGTGCTGCAGAGGCTGAGGGGGGCGGGAGGTTGGGGGGCCAGTTGGGGCCCCATGCGGAGTTGGCCTCGTCCATGTGCGTCATAGCCCAGGTCCTGGGGTAGTTCTGGTTGCTTGGCTCTTACACATAGTTGAGCCCCTTTTCCCTAAGCTGTGCCTTGCCCATTCTTTCCAGAATTGCCTCCATAATTGAATGCTTTTGGGTTCTTTGATATATCATACTTTGGTAGTGGTGGAATTAACATTTAGCTTAAAATGATCATTTCTAAACAGTCCATTTTAGGAGTTTCAAGATCAGGTTTAGAAGCTGAGGGTCATGATCCTCATGAGCTGTGTTTAGACATCACATCTGCAGTCTGTAGGACAGTCACCACCAGGATTCCATGCCCGGAAGTCGACCTTTCATTGGTGGCAATCCGAGGCTTTCACAGGAGGGGCACTTCTCTGTTCCTTTCTCACAGGGTGGTTGTTTTTTTTAATTTCTTTATTGATTAAGGTATTACATATCCCATCATAACCCCCTGACCTCCCCAACTCATGCCCTCACCCCCCTGGTGTCTGTGTCCATTAGTTAGGCTTCTATGCATGCATATAAGTCCTTTGGCTGATCTTTCCCCCATACCCCCACCCTCCCCTACCTTCCCTCTGGGGTTTGACAGTCTGATCGATGCTTCTCTGTCTCTGCATCTGTTTTTTGTTAATTAGTTTATGTTGTTCATTGTATTC